TCTCTCTTCTTTTCTTCTTTGCTTCCAAACAATTACTTTTCTCCTTCGCTTCACTTCATACTACTCTCCTAATTCGCTTTTCTTCACGAATTTTTTCATCTTTCTACCATCTCTACCTGTGTAATTTGTTATTCTACAGTTTTTTTAATTTGTTATTCTAGTCTTCTACTTCGTGTTGCTTAATATTTCTTTCACCTGTGCAATTTTTTGTTCTAAAGTTCTTGTAATTTGTTATTCTAGAGTTTTTTGTACAAATCCGTTTCATGTAGGAAATTAAGCATTCGTGTTGTTCTTTCTTCCGTGTTGTCCAGAGCTTCACGTAGACTGGTGCTGATGTCATTTTTCCTTCTTTCTTTGTCGTATTTCCTGCACTCAAGAATGATGTGCTTTACATCCAACACCGTGCCACAACATTCACACACCGGTGGGGCTTCCTTCTTCAGAAGAAACGTGTGGGTTAGTCGCGTATGGCCGATTCTCAGACGTGTAAGCATACGCTGGTGGGCTGAACTTCCTCGTTCTGTCCATCTGTGCGTGTCGAATTTCACCTCCCTCAGCTTCGATTCTGTTGTGCTAAACCACTGCCTATTCCACTGACCACGTATCGCATGTTTCACCGCTTTTATCGCATCCTCGCTTGGAATCGGTACGTCGATGGCTGGTTGTCTTCTAGCCTCATTGGCTAGTCGGTCAGCTTCAGAGTTTCCCCTGAAGCCGGCGTGTCCAGGGATCCAGCAGAAATGGATGATTTTGCTTTGCACGATTCTCTCTACTTCCTGCACCCAAGGGTGCCGGGAAGTTCCAGCCTCCAAAGCCAGTAGGAAGCTTGCGGAGTCCGTGAGAATAACCAACTCATTTTGAACATTAGGGATGGTGGCGGCCATTTTAATAGCGTAGGCCTCCGCAGAGAAAACACTACATTCGTTCGGAAGACTGTAGGTCCTAGATAGCCCTTCGTAGAAGAATGCAGCTCCTACCGTGTCTTCACACTTGGAGCCGTCCGTGTAGACGATGGTTGAACTATGGAAGCGAGTCTCCAGTAATTGTCGAAGAACTGGACGAACTTTCTCCGGTGGGTCTCCAGCGCGTATGCTTCTTTTCACATCCCACACTATCGTCGGTTTTCGTGCGTGCCACAAGCGATTGCTCTGCCTCACGAGTGAACCGACAGCAGGAAGCGTTGAACCGGTTAATTCTTGGAGGCGATTTGAAGCGCGTGTAATCAGAGGTAGGGTGCTGCTGTTTGGATTCTTTGTGAGCATTCGGATGGCAATGTGTACTGTGGTCTGTGCTGCTAGCAGTTCGAAGGGTAGAGTCCCAGCTTCGGCCATCACCGAGTTAATCGGGCTCGTCACGAATGCTCCGGAAGCGAAGCGAACCATTTTGTTGTAGGCAGGAGCGAGAGTCTGCAAGGTTGCTGGCCCTCCTCGACTAACAAGTCCAATCCCGTAGAGCAGCTTCGCAGTAACTATGGCTGACCCAACTTGCAGCAGAGAGGTCCGATTACCACGTGGAAGTTTTGCACCGATCATCTGTAAAATCCGTAACCGAGATTCGCATGCTTTCTTAACCATATTGCAGTGAGGTTTGAAGGATAACGTTCGGTCCATGGTTACACCTAAAATCCTCAGCCGGTTGGTCTTTGGCACGGGAGTTCCCTCGATAGAGATATCTCGCACGGGATCCCGTCGTGCGTTCGGACTGCAGTAGAAGACATGTGACTTTGTTTCCGACACAGTGAAACCAACGCTTTTCGTCCATTTGTTGATGGCTTTGACGGCAGCCTGTAATTTTCGGTGTAAGCCTTCAGTTTTAGCACCTCGCACTGCTAAGAGGATATCGTCCGCGTACAAAAGAATGAAGACTCCGTTAGGCACTACTCGGAAGATGGGCTGCATCGCGATGAGGAACAGCGTCACTGACAGGACAGAGCCCTGCGGAACTCCGTTTTCCAACGGATACTGGCGAGACATATGCCCCCCAACGGATACCTGGATCGTTCGCTCCGAGAGGAAACTTTTCATCATGTTCAGCATCCGACCACGTATTCTCCATGACCTCAGAGTGCGGATTATGCCGCGCCGCCAGGTGGTGTCATAAGCCTTCGACAGGTCCAGGGATGCTATCAGACAGTGCTCGTCTGTGCTTGGAAGCGTTCGCTCGAGCTCGGAAAAGTACGTGTCGGTGCCTCGCCCGACACGGAAAGCGTGCTGTCGTTTGTCGAGTCGCCCGCTCGACTCTAGGTCGGTGATCAGTCGTCGATTTATGATGCGTTCAAGCAGCTTCGCCATGCAGCTGGTGAGCGAGATTGGACGGAACGCAGCGGGTCCGGTATCGAGGCAGTTTGGCTTCGGAATGGGCACCACGATTGCATTTCGCCAGCTGGTGGGAAACTCTCCATTACGCCAGATCCGGTTGAGCAGCTCTAGCAGTGTCATCTTCACGGACAAAGGTAGAATACTGATGTTGCCACAGTATAGTTCTGTCAAAATCTCAGCAATTCCATTGATCCATTTTGAATATCGCCTTGCTAGGCGGGTAATTACAGGTGAGCTGAAACTAACGGTCCGCTAGTGTTGGTGAGTTATTTTCCGTTGCCAAAACAAAACAACATACGAACGCATTTGAATAGATTTGGACCTGTTTCATACAACCGGAAGGTGTATGCTGGTCACAAATGCCTTACCAAATCTTTGATGTGAATTTCATGAATAAACACGATGAGCATTTCTTATAGCAAAACTTGCCATACAAAATGGTCATAGTTCATTTTAGTAAACAAACTAACACTTCTTCCTTGTGTGTCACCATTGTATTACCCGCCTATATCGCCGTGTATTGTCGAGATTTTGCAGCACTGACCTCATTAGACTCCTGCACTAAAAATAAGTACACATTAATATTTTCGCACTGGTCTTTGTCATAGCTAATTTGTTTATTATTAAGTTCCAAACTGGATCGGGTATCAAGATTGGATCTGCTTGTTTTCTGACAAACGTCAGTTTGATCGTATGTTTTTAAAACCTACCTCAGGTTGAGGTTCGCACTGACAAACAGTTTGGTTTCGCACTTCTGAGATTCCCTGACACCAATGTCCTCAGGGTCGGCAGGCTTACCGATTGCAATTACGCGGGGCAGGGAAGGATCGCATGTGACACACAGAAAAAACTCCACAAGTACTTATCTACTCAAGTTCAAAGATGTACCTATTCCAATTTCCTGACACAACTTTTATTCTTCCTTTCCTTACTCACTCCTTACTAACCTTCTTTCTTCGTCAGGGCCCCTCACAGCACATCCACCACGAGTCTTCGACCATCATTCGCTTGTCCTTGGTCGTCGTACGCTTCCTCTCTACTTCCTCCTTGTTTCTCCTGTCCACGGCGCCATAATTCTCCTTCGCGCGCTTGAAATAGTCGATGTCGAGCACCGGGTTACACGTCCTGGGCCTACGAGTTGGTGACATACGTGGGCCGTCAGTCAGGAACAGTGTAACCTTCCGGTACGTCTACCAGAACTTCACACAGTAGGGTGGATCTGTAATAAATACAGCGAGGTCCCAATGGTTAAGCACATTTGGCATTAGGCCCATCTAAACCAAAATCGTACCCTCTCTTCACACTTTTTGCTGTTAGTTGTCGGCTAGTGACCCGAGCCGTGGCGGCTTTTACAAGTTTCGGTGGGTTTGATGGCTGCATTCTACGTTAATGGAGAAAACTGCACAACTATCTCGAACATTACCTGCCACTATTTTGCAACAATTTAACCGAAACTAAAAACCATGATAATCCAAAAAATCCTCGAAACAAAGGCGCTAACACTTACATATTGACATTTTAATATTGCACTTCTTTAAGTTTTCTAGAGCTCGAATCCATTAACGTAGCTTGCCATAACTATTCTAGAGCTGCTACTGCTTTTAAATAAGTCGATTTTCAAGATTTCTGGCCAGAGTTAAAAAAAAACTATCCAATTATTTGTTGCACAGGAGTCTAAAGTGGTGCAAAATACACAAAAGAAAATTTCCGCTCAATCTACGAAAAGACCTCCTTAAGCTCAGTCGGTAAATGCGCAGTTACAAAGCAAGATCATGCTAAAGGTGGCCGAGGGGGGCGACACATCAAAATCTAAATTCTAGATGCTCAACAAATCTCACACTAGCGAATCAATCTTCGAAAAATCTTCTTTCATTTCTCGCATCTACTTGCATCGCGCATGATCTTTTTTTGTAGGAAATCTTTAGAAACGTCACCCTTCTATCTACTCAGCGTGCGCGTAGCTTAGCACAGCAAAATACTTTTTTTTCCTATGGTAGATAGGGTCGCTCCTCTCGGAGGTGGTTGGGCTCGATTCCCAGTCCGGACTAAGAATTTTTCGGGTTGGAAAATTTCTAGGCTTCCTTGGGCATAAAGAGTATAATTGTACTTGCCACACAATTATACTAATGCAAAAATGCTACAGGCGTCGAAAGCTCTCAATTAAAAACTGTGGAAGTGCATATAGAACACTAAGTTGAGAGCACGCAATAAGCTAATATGCGATAAGCAATAAGCTTGAAAGGTAAACAAGAGGAAGAAGAATTGCCGAAGCCGTCATTTACCCTTTAGAATTTATAAACTTTAAATTGATTCTGAGACAAAACTGTATGATTAGGAACAGTGGCCACCGGTATGACCACGATCGCGTGAGTTCTATTGTTCGGTAAAACCGGAATCTAGGCTCGTAATCACGTGAATGTACAGCTTATTTTATAATAGATGTCCAAGGCGATCGAACATGCATTTTTTGGCTTGGCGCTTAGCATCTGGCTGATTGGAGTGAAAAACCGGGGGACTGTTAGGAATGAAGTACAACTAAAAATTATTTTGAAATCTACATAAATCCAAGAAAATTGGGGACGATTTCGAATAGAAACAAACTACTCTCACTACAGTAACCTTAAATCTACTCAATTTAATCAGAATTAAAAATATTTTCTTTTACATGAGTACTTGAGTAGTAATTGCAGCGGTATAAACGAAACTTAACATACTTTTAATACTTGCATGATTGCTAACTACATTCACAGACACACACTCAAACTCACAGACACGCATGCATAAAATACGATAAATTAAAAACGATTTTTCGTTAACTTTCGACAAGCCTTCCTTCGTTGTGAGCGGATGGAAGAAATTCCTGTTGAGAATATGTTCGTTTTGAGACTACGCAGCCACCGACCACGGATGGTCACCACCCTAGAAGCGCGTATTGTCGGGCATTTTCACAAAGTATGCCACCTTGTTCAGCGGAACGTGGTAGTTGTGAATCCATCGGTTGCCCTTGCGTAGAGATCCATCGATTCCGTCCTTCCAGACGCCTTGTGGGAGGTAAACTGCAATAAGGGAATTTGAAACAATCATTAGAAGAAGCCCCATAAAAACCAGGTATATGAAAACTCACCTTCCCGACTGGTGTCACTCCGGTAGATGATCGGCGCCACAATCATTCCATCTCCGATCGTGAACTCATCGTCAACGAACAGGCAGTTCGGATCGCTGGAATCCATCATCCACAGTGGCCGTATAATCGGTTTCGCCGTATCCAACGCGTCGCTGGTAAATTGCTCCAACATAGGGACCACAGTTTTCTGACGAATCACCGAGAGCTCCTTGGCGATTTCCGTCAACGAGTCGTTCCGATACTCCGATGGAAGATGCGTGAATCGTATCACCGGTAAGAACGTGGCCATCTGCAGCCAGCGGATGTACAGCTCCATTTCCGGCAGTGGAGGAGATCTCATTGGATAGAAGGAAAGCATTTTTGTGTAATTGGAGGACAGCACAAAATCGCCCCCGATCGGTCCTGGCATTATGAGTGGATAGCCAATGATTCCGTAAGAGAGGACAGTTGGAATGATGGTTTGCAGACCACTCCAAGAGCTGTTCACCGGCGGAAGGCTAAGGAACGCCGGAGGATGTGGGATTGAAATGCCACTTGAAACTCCAAAAACTTTCAGGTTACCCTTGACCTGATCCATGAAGAATGATTTGTACTGATCCGGATTGTCTAGTGTTTTCGAACATTGATAATATCTCGGCATGTTGTACGCATTACCGAAATCCAGATAGAACGAGTCTATGCCGATGGTTTCCGTAATTTTCTTCAGCTGATCCTTTAACCAGGGAATGGTTGCGTTATTGGTGATGTCGAGAACTCCAGCGCTAGCTAGGCTTTTGTAGCGCGTCAGAGCGGGAATGCTACGTTCCGAATTACGTTCGTAAATCAGAAACTTCTTGGCAACTGCTTCCAGGAAGTTGTCACTTTCAGTGCTGATGAAAGGTTGGATTGTAAGGGAGATTCGGAATCCACGCCGGTGCAGTATATTTACGGTATCTTCCAACGTGGGAAAACGGTCAGGGTCAAACACGAAATCGCCGATATGTTTCTGCCAAAATTCATTGATCAAGACATGACCAACGTGTAGATATCCGGAAGCGATCACGTGCTCCGTGTAGTTGTAGATTATAGTTTCGGTCAGCTCTTCCTGAGAATAAGCTGGAATGTGCCACACCGGTTCCCGAAGAAGAGATTTGATGATGGTATTGTCGTTTTCTGTCAATCCATCCCACAAGCTCATCCGAGTGAGATTGTCGTGGGCAATTATTATGTCCGGACCGGTGCATACCCGATAGTTCAATGCCGAGTAATTGGTAAACTTATTCACAAACGCAAAATCGTCATTCCTGCCTCGCAGACAAATTTGCTGGCTGTCATTCTTGTTAATACTGACATATAGAGGAGTTTTGTCGTCCACCAGAATTGCGATTCCTTTCGAATTCAAAAAGAACCTCTTAACCGCATTACCCCACTGTTTGGTATTGGTATCACCCGTCACAAAAGGTGAAAAATCAAACGAAGCCTTGTTCAGCAGATAGTCCACGCCCTTGGTAAGACCTCCGCCGTACCAGTAAACGCCATCCCCGATATCGAAACAATCCGTTGGATAGAAGTTATTCACCAGCGTTTCCCAACTAAAGCTGTAGCACTTCACTTCACTGTTCGATTCTGCTTTCTCCAAATTCATGTACAATCTTGCCACCGAGTTCCACTCGTAGCAATGGCTCCCGTCGTTCCGCAGATTTTCCGGCAAGCACTTGTATGGCTTTTCGATGTTGAGATCTATTCCCAACTTCCCCGTCAGGAGGTCATATCCCTTCGCATCCAGAATTCGCATCGCTCGTGTCTTCGTGTGCAGCTTGATGCTCTCGAAGTACGATTTGGCCAGCAACTTCTGGTTGTACATGATGTACGCGTAGCCGACCTTCAACCGTTCAAGAGCAATGGATAACACAACAAACACAAACAGCGTTAGTTAGTTGGTACGTAACCGAAGCGACTTCTTCTTCTATAGGGAGATTATCTCCCGTAATTGCAAATGTTGATAGAGGGCCGTTTGTATACTTACAAGAAACACGATGATAAGGAACAGCATGCCGACAAAGACGCGCAGTTTGTAGTCTTTGGTTTCACGTTTCTTCTTGCGGATCATGGCCGGAACGTTCTGCAATGGGACGAGAGAGTTGGAAAATTAATCTTACGCTTCGTTTGGGTGTAAATATTGAATCTCGATAAATAGCGAGCATGCAGAATACAAGCTTTAGCGTGCATGCCAAATCTCATTAACTTCAGTTCAGTGTGAACACTGATAAGCGTATTATTATTATTTGCACAAGCAAGGCGAATAGAAATTAACACGGCGCATCTTCTGAATGTAACAATCCAATTAGGGTTAATGATTAACAGGATCGAACTTTTTAACACCTTTATTATAGCGGAAGCATACACTGCTAGTGGATTTTGAAGAATGATGGCACATTTGGCACGATCTGGAACATGTGCAAGCGGTTGAATTGAGTTGTTTCCAATTTTCAATTTGAAACATTCTCCTAATAATTTGGACAAATATTGTTCGAGGCTTACATTAGCCTGTTAAAGTGTGCTAAGGTCGAACAAATGAGAAACTTCGGCGTGAAGAATTTGATTTAAGTAACAACAGAAAATAATCCACCTAACTGCGATCAAGTTATTTCACTTAAAATCACGACCTGCATTATTTACATCTCAATCTCCAACCCAATCTACTTCAAGCAATTTCTGTAAGTATTCCTGAAGAGTTTTAAGAATAATTCAATGGCAATTCTGTAGAATATTTAAAGAGAATTAAAAACACAGTTCCAACAGAATCCAAGGGGTATCTGAGGATAATTTCAAGATATTTCGTAGAAGAACTCCAAGGGAGCTCTGAGGAGAATGTCTTAGGAATTTTGAGAGCATTACACAGGAATTCATGTCATTTTTGTGAGTATTCCAAGGAAATTAAGAAAAGAGCTCCAAGAGAAATCTTTTTAAATTTGTCGAACCTCTTAACGGAATCCCTTTAGAAGAGCTTTGAGTGTGTTGGTTTATTTCCTTTAAATTCCGTTATAATTGCTTATCTTTTGACAGATACGCGTCTTTCGTCTACTACTTGCAGACTTCATAAGTGCCAAGTACAAGTTGAGTACTTGGCACTGATGAAGTCTGCAAGTAGTAGAAGAAATACGCGTATCTGTCAAAAGATAAGCAATTATAACGGAATTAAAAGAAAATAAACCAACACACTCAAAGCTCTCCAAGATAAATTTGGAACAATACCAAAGTGAATGCTCAGGAGAAAACCAATTAATTTTCTAAAGAATTCATAGGTAATTTTTCAGATTATTCTGGAAAGCTACTGTCATGACTGGACCGAGGTGTCCAGCCTCGGTAACGGTTTAACGAATTTGCCGCTCAACTGGTGGTCCGATCTCGGGTTTACTTACTTATCCTGGTCCGACATCCCTCAGGATTGCACCTGCATCACAATGTTACGCCAATTCACTCGGTCCGTGGCTGCTTGTCTCCAATTTCTTGCCCGTCCCACACTTCCAAGATCCTGCTCCACTTGGTCTAGCCACCTTGCTCGCTGTACTCCTCTTTGTCTTATACCGGCCGGATTCGAGGAAAACACCATTTTTGCGGGATTGTTGTCTGGCATTTTTAAAACGTGTCCCGCCCATCGTACCCGTCCAGCTTTCGCAAATTTCTGGATACAGGGTTCGCCATAGAGTTGCGCCAGCTCGTGGTTCATCCTTTGCCTCCATACACCGTCCTCACATACCCCACCAAAGATGGAGCATCGTCCACGTCTCGTGCCCGTAGAGAACTACCGGTCTTATCATCGACTTGTACATGGTACATTTAGTACAGAGGTGAAGTTTACCCGACCTCAGGGTCTTGTTGTCCACTGCAGTTGTTATCCGACGTCACCAATGATCCGAGGTACAAAAATTCATCCACCACCTCGAACTCATCTCCGTCGATTGTCACGCTTCTGCTTATGCGAGCCCTATCCCGCTCGGTTCCTCCAGCTAACAGATACTTTGTCTTCGACGTATTCACCTTTAATCCACCCTTCTCTGCTACATGTTTCAGCCTGGTGTACTGCTCCGCGATGGCCTGAAACGTTCTTCCGACAATGTCCACGTCGTCAGCGAAGCAGATGAACTGGCTGGACTTATTGAAGATCGTGTCCCGCATGTTAAAGCCCGCACGTTTCATAACACCTTCTAGCGCAATGTTGAACAGGGGGGCAGGAAAGACCATCGCCTTGTCGAAGTCCTTTGCGAGTTTCAAACGAGTTCGATAACGCACCCGATATCTTCACGCAGCACTGTACACCATCCATCGTAGCCCTGGTCAGTCTGGTCAGCTTCCCGGGAAAACCGTTCTCGTTCATAATCTTCCATAGCTCTTCACGGTCAATAGTATCACAAGCGGCCTTGAAATCGATGAATAGGTGGTGCGTAGGGACTTGATATTCACGACACTTTTGCAGGATCTGACGCAACCTAAAGATTTGGTCCGTTGTCGATCGCCCGTCCACAAAACCGGCTTGATAGCTTCCCACAAATCTGCAGGCTAGCGGCGATAAACGGTGAAAGATGATCTGGGAAAGCACTTTGTAGGCCGTGTTAAGAATAGAGATCGCTTGATAGTTCTCACATTCTAGTTTGTCGCCTGTTTATACACTGGGCGTATTACGCCCTCTTTCCACTCCTCCGGTAGCTGTTCTGTATCCCAGATCCTGACTATCAGTCGGTGCAGATAAGCTCCGCTCCGATATCATCTTTCCCAGCTGCTTTGCTGTTCTTAAGCTGTCGGATAGCATCCTTAACTTCACCTATAGTTGGAGCTGGCATGCCCCCCTCATCCGCTGTACCGACGAAGCCATTCCTCCTGCCGCCTTGGTCCTCTGCCTCTGCGCCGTTCAGATGTTCATCGTAGTGCTGCTTCTACCTTTCAATCACCTCACGTTCGTCCGTTAAGATACCCCCTTCCTTATCCCGACAGATTTCTGCTCGCGGCACAAAGCCTTGGCGGGATGCGTTGAGTTTCTTGTAGAACTTGCGTGTTTCTTGAGAACGCTGCTCCACTTCTTCGCACTCCAGCTCTTCCAGGCGGCGCTTCTTATTCCGGAAAAGATGGGTTTGCTGTCTTCGCTTTTGTTTATATCGCTCCACATTATGACGGGTTCCTTGCTGCAGCATCGGCGCTCGCGCTGCGTTCTTCTCGTCCAAAACCGTCTGACACTCTTTGTCGAACCAATCGTTCCGTCGATTCCGCTCCACGAACCCAACGACGCCTTCAGCAGCGCTGTTAATGGCTGCTTTCACGTTGCTCCAGCAGTCCTCAAGAGGGGCTTCGGTGAGCTCTCCCTCATCCGGCAACGCTGGTCCGATGTAGCAACCGGACCGACGTTTCCAGCCTTAGTCACGGTTCCACGAATCTTCTGCTCCCTCTGTTGGTCCACTAGTGCCGCTATCCCTTTTGCTGGTGGTCTTTTGCTGGTCGTCTTTTCTCTTCACAGTCCTTGTTGATCCTACCAGTAATATACGCTTGATTAAGGTTAAGCCATGCATGTCTAAGTACAAACAGATTCTGATGACGGACTGTGGAGAAAGCGGACGACCAGCAAAGGACCACCACGAAAAAGGGATAGCAGCACTAGCGGAGCAGCAGATTCGTGGAACCATGACGAGGCTGGAAACCTCGGTCCAGTCACGACAGTTACTGGAAGTGTTCAGCACTACATTGAGAAAGATAACTGTCAAACTGGAATTCAAGCCGGATTAGCAACACGCGTTCCGCCAAAATCGCCCGGTTGCATACTTTGTGTATCAAGAGGTGGACGATGAGTTGGAGCGGATGCAGATTATAACACTTTGCAGGGCCTCCCTTTCTCAGCAGGTTAAAGTGGAGCTACAAAGCAAGACCATGCTGGAGGTGGCTGGGATCGATTCCCAGTCCGGTCTAGGAATTTTTGCGTTGGAAAATTTCCCGACTTCCCTGGGCATAGAGTATGATTGTACTTGTCACACAATTTTACTAATACAAAAATGGTACAGGCATCGAAAGCTCTCCACTGATAACTATTGAAGTGCATCTAGAACACTAAGTTGAGAGCATGCAATAAGCTAATATGCAATAAGAAATAAGCTTAAAATACTAAGAAGAAGAAGAAGAATCAATGGAGATCATGGTTGGCCGAAAAGCAAACGGCAACATCCGAGTCTATGGAGACTATTCCTCTAGATTAAAAGACTATTTACAACTCGTAACCGCAGACCAAATTTGTGAAACTTGGCAGCTGTAAGATTTTCAGTAGCATCGACAAGTCCGACTCGTATATGCAGTTGGAAATGGGTAAAGTTTCCCTTTGAATTCACAAGTAATTCGCCGCTATCAACTCTTTTCAGAATTAGCTTAAAATTCAGAAATTCTAATGCAATTCAGAGTTCTAAAGTAAATCAGACTTCTAAGGTAGCCCAGAATTTCAAGGTACTTAAAACAATGCTAGGAACTACCAGATGCCTTCTAAATTTACCTTAAAACACATTAAGAATTATCCTCAAAAATCTCACGAGCATACAGGGTGATTCAGAATAGTCGTGACCGATTTCACAAATATGCAATTCTCAATGGGTAAAATGGGTATGTGTTCGAGTATTTTTGTTTTAAAGTGTATACCGTATGCGTGATAATGTTTGCACCATCGTACAAATAAGGTTCCCGTTTCACCTGTGCTTACAATGCCTTGGTTTTCTTGGCAGGCACGTAACCTATAGCTCATACCGTAGTAGGCTGTGTATAAAAGAAAATGATTTACTTAGTTTTAAAGTTGCACCATGACGAAGTGGCAGCGTATTCGTGATTTGTCCCACGCGCAAATGTCGCAAAAAGACAATTCAATTGCCGTGGGAGTGTCCCGGAGGACCGTCAAAAGAGTTTTAGACCGAGAAAAGAAAGGACAACTATCCGCGAAGGTGGCCACAGGTCGTCCAAGGTCAGCTCGGGTTCTGAGGGCTATCGCTGCTATCAAAAGGAAGATTCGGGTGAATCCAGTGCGTTCAATAAGGAAAATGGCAAAGGAACACAGGATCAGTGACTTTACGGCACGGAAGATCGTAAAGGAAGATTGC